CACCATTAGGGAGATGAACACTTACACCTCAAATTTCTGCAGACCTAGTGACTCAACAGCCCAAGTGTCAATTGGTTGAAAACAACAGTGTAAAGCATATATTTGCCTGAAATGTTTGATTAGATCTTAAAATTTATGAAATTAAGACAGTGATCCTTTTCCCCCATGCCATCTTACAGAGCGATACGGCAAGACTTACAGAGCCAAATAGTCTATAACAAAAAAATCAGAAATTTATATATAAACCAAACCAGTAACACCTGCAGAATTGTCTATCCCCCCCTCCCAATACTGTTGATGCCTCAACCACATAAAATTAAATTACTTCTAACATTTGCTGATAGGTTATGGAATGCCAGAGGATGTGCAACTCACTTGTTTGAGGGGATGGTGCTAGACCCAGATGTTAATATCAAGAGAGAATCTGAGGTTGTTATTTGCCTGATACATTTAGGTGTGATGCTCAGTCCCTGTGCTTGGCCTTCCAACCCAGACACCAATGTCCTTCCACATATTCCAGCAGTAAGTCTAGAGCATACTTCTCTGCTAAACATCATTATCTCACTTCCATTCTGGCAATAACTGTTGAGACATTAAAGTAAACCAGTATGGCTCAGAAGCCCAACTAAAATCTCTTTTTTTTTGGTCTCATTTAATAACAAGGCAGAAATGGGACTACAGCTTGAAAAGTATATGGTCCACATCAATATAAATTTTATTTGCACTGAACTGTTTATCCTGCCTACCAACACCAAGTTGTCAAATTTTCAATCTATAATACAGATGGTGAATTTGTAGAGAGGTGTTTCCAAGAGACATTCTCCAAAATCAACAAATATTTTGAGGAAGGCACTAAGTAATCAACTGGGATCACTCCTATGAAGCATAGAATTGCTTGGGACCCATACTAACAGGTATACTTAGATCCAACAAATGTGATCCCGAAATGAAATTCAACAATATCTACCGCTCACCACCCTCAGTATCCATTACCACAGTGGATGTGCAGCACAGTCTTACGCAAAAGAAGGAGCTTCCTTAAAAATGGAGGCGAAAAATCCCCTCTCCTCCCTGGTTTTGATTTTTGGGTCTAGCAAGTGACCAGAGGAAGTCAGTGACTTCATATATTCTTCAGTAGCCTTTAGTAGGGGTTTCAATATGTATGTTATTCATGCAAAATAATGTGTTCACAAAATAACACTTACCTAAAACGTAGATCTGTGCCTGCACAGTTTTGGGAGCTGGTATCCCATTGACTCACCAAGGAAGAAGTTGATTGCTCCAGACAAAATTTTAAGTAGAATTAGGCCAAACACATTACAGAATTTAGCCTTAGCCCCTTGTTTAACCATACAAGTCTTTCACCCGGTGTACTCTGTAGACAGTAGATGATAATTAAGCACAAATTATCTACTGTCAGAGTGAAATAAAGCAAGTTTGTTGCCGAGCATGTATACGCCTGTGTGGACACAGCAGGAGTAAACATGATGAGGCAGGAGAACAGAGCTGGCACCAGAGAGCTCATGAAGCAAGAGCCAGAACTAGCCAGCTGCTCCAACCTACCTGCAGCCTCAAAGAACCTTCACTGGGAATTTCAGACACAGCTACAAGAAAGCAATTGTATACAGTCACTTGCAAGCATTAATACCCACTTTCAGAATACCACAATTAAAAATTAGGATCATTTAAGTATATATTTTATGATAAACCATCACCAAATTCTGTTTCGATACAATCATTTGCTAGTCTTCAGAATAAGAAGGACAAAAGGATGGAAAACTGCAAGCGTATGTGGTAGAAGAGTGCCCCTTTAAGGTTATCTGGTCAAGGACCTTTTCAGTGCAAAAAAGGGCTAAGAAGAAGAGGAGGAAACCATAAACAAGAACATAAAGGGACACAAAACTGATTAACAAATGATAAGAGAGGCGGTGTATGTGGGAGTGTGAGAGTGTTTATTCCAGCAGGTTATCTGACTGAGCACATCCTATATTGGGATGATAAGGAAAAGGAAGGGGACAAACACACAGATGTAAAATCTGACCAATTAGCATTAGCAAAGACAATAACCAGAAAAAAAACCCAAACCCTGGTCATTCACACTAATCATTGGGCTGTCAAGAAACTGCAGGCTATATAGCTTTTGGCTGGGATAGAGTTAATTTTCTTCATAGTATTTCATATGGTGCTACATTCTGGAGTTGTGACCAAAACAGTGTTGATAACACAGGGAGGTTTTGGTTACTGCTGAGCAGTGCTTACCCAGAGCCAAGGCCTTTTCTGCTTCTCCCCCACCCCACCAGCGAGGAGGCTGGGGGGGCACAAGGAGTCGGGAGGGGACACAGCTGGGACAGCTGACCCTGACGGATCCAAGGGATGTTCCAGACCATATGGTGCCGTGCTCAGCTGGAGGAAAAGAAGAAGGAAAGGGGGCACGTTTGGAGTGATGGCGTTTGCCTTCCCAAGTCACCGATACTTAGCGTGATGGAGCCCCGCTTTCCTGGAGATGGCTGAACACCTGCGTGCCGATAGGAAATAGTGCATGAATTCCTTGTTTTGCTTTGCTTGCATGTACAGCTTTTGCTTTACCTATTAAACTGTCTTTATCTCAACCCACGAGTTTTCTCACTTTTACCTTCTGATTCTCTCCCGCATCCCACCAGCAGGGAGTGTGTGAGCAGCTGCGTGGGCCTGAGCTGCCTACCGGGGTCAACCCACAACACAGGCAAAATGCGACTTCACAACTGATAAAGATGCAAATCTCAAGGACCAGCGTGCTGGACGGGGTGGGTGGAAATATGACAACTGACGAGGCAATGTGCAGGGCAAGGGGGAGCGGGGAGGAACAAAGGGGGAGTAGGCAGACAGTCGTATAAGAGGGGTCAGTCAATACGCTCATCGCTGCAGTCTGTCCTACCTTCTTACTAAGTCCTTTCTTCACTATCTCTGTGCAACCTCCCTCTTTATCCTGTGTGTCTACGTCCTGCAAGGACTAGGTGTCAGTTACAGAGGGGAACATCATGAGTGGGATTTGTGCCAGCTACTGGAGTCAGACCAGGGCTGTAGGTGCCCCAGGGCTGTGTTGTCAGCTACTGGAGCGAGTGTGGGGGTCCTAGCCACCAGCCACTGGGGTGGGAATGGTGCGTGTCCCAAAAAAAATCAATTACTGGGGGGGGACTGGCATGAGTGAGGCAGGTGCAGGGCTTAGTGCCAGAGGCTGGAGCTGGACCACAGGTCACAGCCCATGTACCTGTCGCTGGTTGATGGGGGCTGTCTGTGTTCCCCAAACCGTGTGTGTGTGTGGGGGGGGGGGGTTTGCTGTCAAACTTGAAGCCAGTGAGTACGAGGGCCTGGGTCAGGGCTGGGGTATTAGTCAGGCAAAGGGTCTGTGCTTATATCCAGAGGAACCCGTGAGTATGGGATGCCTGTGGGACAAGGGTGTGAGTGCTGCATGTTTGCTCATGAGCGCAGACCTGGATGAGCCAGCGAATAGGAGACCAACAAGGCAGGTAAGAGGGCCAGGATCTGGGCAGGGGTACTAGGTGGACAGTGCCAGTACTCGAGGGATCTACAAATGTGTATGTGCTTATGAACCTAGAGAGCATTGTATGTGTGCCTGCACTGGTGACCTTCTGTCTCTGCCAGATGAAGAGGAAGGGGATGCAGCTGCCTGTGCTTTTTTTACGTGGGTCCTGTAGGTAGATGTAGTCAAAGGCATGGCTTGTTTGTGGCAGTCCGTGACCAGCCACATTAGTGTTCTGTGTGTGTCTGTATGTGTCTCTGGGACACAAGCTCAGCTTCACTGCTGGTTGAACCTGCAAGCGGGGAAGCAGCAGCTACATCCCTCAGCCCAGGGCATACACATCCCTGGTACCCAGGTACCTGAGGCTGGGCTCCAGTAGCTGTGCAGGAGTCGTCCTGGGCCAGAGCTGCTGGAGGTGGTGGCCACACCTAACATCCTGTAAAAGACACGTGCGTTTAGGAGAACAAAGTGTTGGAGAGAAGCTGCATGGTCTCACAGTTATTTTGTAGTCCCACCAGTGGCTCGTCACTCCATTTTGTCTTGGTGGCTTAAGCCACAACAAAAATTTTCTGGCATAAACAATTGGTTCATCATGTGGAACCAGCCAGGGCTGTTAATGAGAAATGTTTCTGCTCATTTTTGGTGTTAGGGAGCAGCAAAAGCGAGGCTGCTCCAGGAGTGAAGAGGAGCCAGGAGCAGAGGGTGGCCACAATGCAGGTTAGGCAGCACCACTACAGCTGGGGCACAGGCCCACAGAACCTAAACCAGGCAAGCAGAACCAAGAGGTGAGAGCAGCAGCTCCCATCCAAAGCCAATCCATGAAATCCAAACATCAATTCAGGAACAGGGCTGGGCCCAGGCCCATCTACAACATACCTTAGGGGAGTACAGGATGCCACAGCCTGAGCTGAAATAGGACCTGTGGGCCCATGGTCAGGGTGGGGTGGGTAGGGGTCCCTGGTGAGGCTGCTTAGGGCCATTAAGGCCCAATACTGCCCTCAGGGCTCTGACAGCTGGATTCACAGCAGGACGACAGCAGGTTTAAACCTGAGTAAGTATTATTTTCCCTGTGATCAGCATGTATGCATCAACTGGATGGCAGAGCTGAGCTGTATCCTTGTGCTGCATTTAGGCGGGGAGGGCAAGAAAGCACCGGGGCTAGAGAGACTTCACCTCTGTTGGTCCGTCTTAGCCTCCTCCCCTCCAGAATATGAAATGGACATCTCACTGCATACTTGTGACCTGTACCAGCATCACTCCCACTTTATTTTTTATTAAAAAAAACCCACAAAACCAACACATTTTCTTGCAATTATAACGTTTGATCTCTTTTTAAAAATAGCAGTCACAGAGCCTGCACAGCTGAGAGGCCATTATTACTAGTTCTTATGCTATACCAGAAAAAGCCATTTCCATCAGGTTATACAGAAGGCATTTTTCAAAGGAGAAAATCCAAAGATTTCAAAGCCTAGTTTCATAGTGCATACTCTGTATCATACTTGGACAGTTTTTCCCCTCTCCTCAGGAGAAACTCCAGGAATATTTACCACATACCTCTTACCATGCACTTGCTGTAACTTGGTGTACAGCTTTTTTCATCTTACACAGATTTTTTTGGTAATAGCAGTCACCCATGAAAACTAACAGGATTTGGAAGATGCTTTCTGGTTAGTCTGATAGAAATGGTGGAAGAAGGCAAACAAGCATAACATTCCTAGGCCACTGCCTCCCCTCCAGCATTCTCCTGACCACTTGCATCTGCAAGAACAGAAAGACTAATTGCTCCCTTAACCTCAATGTCCCTTGGAAATAAAACAAACCAAAAAAACCCAACGCTTCTGCCCACCACAAGAGTTACCATCTAGCAGAAACCCCCAGTCCCACCTGGCAGCAAACACTCACTATTTCTAAAACAAGAAGTTTCACAAGATATTCAAAACCCTGTGGAACACCAAAGGCTCTATGGAACACGTCTGCATAACAAATACAATCACACATGGAATAAGCAGGAAAAGACCTCAGAAGATAACCAGGAAGTAGAAGCAGCAGCAGTACTCCTGTCAGTGAGACTTAGTCATGCTCTTGGCTGCTTGGCATCAGAGCCTAGATGCAATCTCACCATATCTGATGCTGTGATGACACAGGTTGTACAATGCTTTCCATCTGGAAAGGGGAAAAAACGTGGTCCACAGATAATCTGCCCTTTATTTCACACCAATTGTTGTGTTCACACGTCGCCATACGATACTCATTCTGTGCATACATAGAGACCTTCACTGCCCACATTAACAAGATAATTCAGACTGTTTATCTCATCCTCTCAGGCCAAGAGCTAAACACATCAGTTCAAACACTAACAGAACTACTGAGGTATGTTGGAGCAAGTCAGACCAAAAGATACAACCAGGTAGAAACAGATGCTGCTGAGCTGTTGGTGCTCCTCAGCATCCGTTACCTCCCGTTACATGCTGGCAACCACAGGAAGCTCCTCTGCCTCAGACGCATTTCTGCTGCACAACATGCAGCAGCACCAAGTCCATATACATCACTGCTGGAACAGAAGTCAATCCAGTACCACTTCAGGAGAGCTGTGCTTACCTGCCCAGGCAAATACCAGTCTGTCAACCCTGCAGAGGCCTCTCCTGCTCCATGGAGGTATGACAGATTGCTCAGAGATCTCTTAACTTGGAGCTGCATTATCCAATACCGAATACACCCAGCAGCAGCTCCAGAGGTCAATTCTACCTTTATGTTTGTTGACAAGAAAAAAAAGATACTACATTGCCTTCCCCACAGCTCAAAGCATCCCAAAAGCACACACAGATTTCAGGTTTGCTCCCCATAATGCTCAGATGTGCCAGCTCCCCAGTGTTGTGTCCTTCATAGCACATAACTTCACAAAAATGGCCTTCTGGATGAGGAGATATTTTTAATAATTTCATAAATATGGAAATAACATCCATCTGATGGCTGTGTCTAACAGCATATCATGTGAGAGTACCCCAGCAGCTCATGAAAGTTTTCAGGCTTCATAGAAAAGGCCTCTGGTTGGAAAATGACTGTGATTCCAAAACATTCAGGCAAGTGCTGGAATAAAATATTGAAGCGAAACATCCTCATGGAGCAAGATGAAGTGGACAATTCTTTTGCTTACAATATCTGTAAAGAGAAAAAAAACCCCAAAACGCAAATCCAGTTTAAAGCAGGAAAAATACTTTAAAATTACATCTTCTGCAGAATGTCAGCATAAGAATACAATGCTTCTACCACTTCTGACACAAGGATGACTAGACATATCATCCTGTAATATTTAAGTCCTCAAGGGTCTATGAAGCATTACTAAAGAGTCTATGAGAGCTGAAACAAAAAAGGAAATACGTAATGTATAGGCCTATGATGCTATACCCCTGCACTAAACCATAACAGACAGATGTTCTCAGGAAAAGCACACAGAGTTATCAAAATAGGATACAAAACTCTGCACACGCTTCTGCTGGAAAGAACATATAATTTCTATGGTTAGAAACACTAGCTGCATAAAAAGCATTTTGGTATTAGAATCAATTTGGTGCTGAATGTAAGAAAGCATCTGAGAAAAAAACCCTAAACAAACATGTCAACAAATCCCAGTTTCTTTGTTAGAAACTAGGGGCTTTCTTTTAAGACATTCAAAAAATAATACCTCAAAATAATAATAAGAAATAGTAACTTCAAAACAAAGACAAGAAGACACCCATGATTAGTCACACTGAATATTCACCTTGATACTTATAAAAGGGCCTGGCTTTATTTTTTTTTATTTTTTTTTCTTCCCCAAATGCCTAAGGCCTGAAGCTTACTGCCTAAAACAGAAAAATAGCCAAGTTTCAAACAGACAAAACAGAAGACACGCTGTTCTGCCAAGACTACAAGTATGGCAAACATCCCTCCTTAACTGGAGCTTGCAAGCAAAGCTGTTGAACTTACTGCACAATGCTTTTGTGGGATTGACCTGCTGTCCAGCAAGCAGCTGCAGCAGCTTCTTGATGTCTATACGTGCCTCAGCCATGCTTTCCAGATCTCTGCTTTGAGCAGAACTTTGACATCCATCCTCTGATGCTAAAAGCATAAGAGCACAACACTTTAGTCAAAACATCAGAGGGAGTTTCAACACCACTAAGGACACATCTGATAATCACTGAACAGCTGGCACTCAACTGGGTTGTTTTTCAGAAACAGCAGTGCAAGGAAGAGAAAGCCCAGTTTTCCTACAAAGTTGTCAAGGATACTGGAAGAGATTCCCCCCACAAACATGAAAGAGCCATTGGCCACTTTTCTTCTTAAGGTTTCATTTGACGACTTCAAAATACTTGATGCTATTTTGTAAGGACTAACAGAAGTAAGTACTGTTATCAGCATCACACTTAAGAAATGAGATCAGACACAAGAGGCAACTAACAGGGAAACTTACCCCAGGGAGGATTTCCCAAGTCTTTAAAATGTGTTGTTACAGACACTAAGTCAGTTTCTATTTTCAAGTTCATTTCTCCACTCAAGTTTGCTTCAATCACCTGCAATACAATCAATCTCAATTTTAGGCAAGCCCCTTCCGCACTGCAGAATTACAGAAGAATAAAGTGCAGCTCTGTTCAAATATGAGCTTCCAGAAGTACTTCAGTGCCTTCACAGCTCAACTGTACTTGTTGAACATGGTTTGAACATTTGAATGTTCAGCTACAAAATGCATTTCTCATCATTCCTGTGTGAATTATCCTAGACCGACCTCCCTGAAATTATGAAAAGAAATTCAATTGCTCTCCAGTGCTTTTAGAACAAGTACTGGCTTTGGGAAGTTCATGTGCTGAGGAAAAGGCTTTAGAATAAGAGACTGAAGCTGGAGAAATGCAAGTGTTCCTGCATTTCCACCCAACTTTTTAACAAACAGAAAGGCACCTACACAGTCCATATGACACACAGAAAACAGGATGCACCAAGAGCTGACCTGCAGTTGCAGTGTCGCTTTCCAAGACTTAAAAAGAGACAACAGCTGCACCAGAGCAGTAACTCCAAGCAGGACTTTGAACTGCTAGAAATCCTGGAAAAGTGCTGAAAGCTTTCAAATTCTATCCTGACAAAGCGTCCAACCAGAAGGAGACTATATATGATCTTACACAAATCCCAAGCAGATCAGAGGATTCCTAAAGCACATCTAAGCACTTCATTTCTGTGATAAGAAGAATTCTCAACAATTTTAAGAGAGGCTCATAACACAACCAGAATCTCCTATCGAATGGGAGACGCCCACAGATGAATGCTCCCAAACAATGGCCAAGTACTATTTGAAAGAGCTTCTAAGCCCTTTTTGCAGCACTGATCTTGGCCAGTTTTACTACCAGGAAGGATCTAGCACGAATATTTAATTGTAACTCTTGATGTTTTTGCTCTTAATAACAGGAAAGCATGTAGAGGATGCATGTAGCCTGCCTCCTCCCTTAGAGCTATCAAAGCTATTTCACAGAAATTTATTTATTTTAGTGCTTTGGAGCAGGAGGTAAGGAACTTAGGAAGGTGGGTATGCCCAGTGTTGATATGCTACCACTTCTGAGTGTTGCTGAACACCAAAGTTCAATCCCATCATACAGCTATCCCGTGTGAGAAGAGATCCTCAACTCTGGAAACAAAGCAGTTAGTTATACACTGTGCTTAGTCATGTGTAAGCACTTCCACTGAGGACATGGGGAAAGGAAGGAGAAAGAAAAAATAAAACCCCCAAAAGACTGACAAAGGAGAAGAGCTTGAAGTGCTTATTCTTGTATTTGCAGGATGACTGCCATTTGCAAAGTTGCCAGAAACCCAGGGTAATCTCTCAACTCTTCCAAGCCTTGGAAGACTGAAACTGTCCCAGTTTCAGGATTCTTAGTTTACAGAAAATTTCCCATTTATCAAAATTGGTATGAACAGCTCCAAGACCAAACTATTCCAAAGCTCTATGCTTACTTACTAACTTTCATGTCAGTCAATTCTGGTGACTGTGAGCAACAACAACTGAAGAAAACCCAAACAAACCCCTTTTCTGGCCAACTGCAGAGGGCTTCTTTCAATGGAAGGCCCACCAGCACTCCAGGAACCCAGGGTGGACTGGAAACCGACCCTGTCAGAGTCTAAAGCACAGGCTGACATCCAGGAGCTGCTAGTAGGATTTCCTTTAAATCCTACCTCAAGTTTACCTAAAGTTCATCCATACAGATACCTAACACAAGACTCACTTAATAGGCATTTCTTCAATGAAGTCACCTGGAAAGTCTCCAGCTAGCTTCCTGAAGGACCACAATTTCTTACCAGCTATAAAGAGTGGCTTGGAGCAACACAATGCCATGTTCTTTCAAGGATTCAGTACAAAGAGCACCACTTTCTGGGAAGGCCAAGACAAGCTCTTCAGTGTAAATCCTAAAATAAATCCCGTCACTCTCTTCAGCCCTTACACAGTCTTCAGGTGCCTTTAGTTCAATGTCTGACCCATCCCAAAATAAGACATAACACCAGTTTGGGCAACAGAGAAACATGCTATGTCCAAGATAAAATAAGGTCTGTAGGACACATGCCTGAAGTGCCTTAACTTACAATGGAATTGCTGAGATTCTTCATTCTCTCCACAACACTCTTCATTGTTTTCAGCACTGGTAGGTAAATACTGACCTAGAAAGACATAAGAACTGCATTTACATGAATATTTCATGTGTGACTGGGTTGTGATGTGTTTATTTCTCCCTTCAATTCTATCTTATTTTGGACTCAGTTATCTATTGAGTGCAGGGAGCACAATATTTAACTGAAATCAGCAAATGACTCAGGAACAGAGTCCTCTTTCCCGTTATACCAATAGGCCATCACTCTAGCAATTGCCTCACACATACTGTCCCAAGTCTGTGCTCGAAATAAAGCAGAGACAGGTTTTTTCAGATCAGATGCTGACATGACTCCGCATTTGTGTTACTGAGCAGTTAAGAGTTACTATAGCCAAAAAGGTAAGAATATGATTCCCACAGTACTGTAATCGTTTCTGTAACTGCATCAGTGTACATCTGACATAAAAGAACAAAATACACCAAGTTTCTACTGAGTCATATGTCTTCAGAATTTAAATACTCTTAGCTATAAAGGTAACAGACATCTGTAACCTCATATAGGATCACATTTGCACAAAGACCTTTCCTTGCAACTCTGCTAAAAGTCAAAAAGGATATACAGAGAATTTATAAAAATCAGGAGGAAACATATATATCTAACTCTGCCAGGTAGGCCCTGAATTTCAAAAAGAACAGATTATTTGGGCCACTTGGTACCTAGGTGCTCTGGCCTATAGCCATTCAAGTCCTTTGCTCCTCCCTTCCTCCACTATGAGGAGTATCACAGCAACAACTGGCAACCACCTGCTCCGGTTTTACAGGTTCTGGACCCTCTTGTCAAGATGGAAGCCATGTCCCATCCCTCTGCAAACCTCTAGCCTCCAGCCTTGCCCTCTTTCCTTTCACCTCCTCTCCAAAACCCACCGGTAGTATACTCAGCAGCTATAGTATTCCACTTGCAACCTCCCCTTTCCATACGGAATATAAAAACAGAGGCTTACATCAAAGTCTGGCACACTGGGCTCTCTGAAGTCATTCCATAATCTTCTGGGAATAACCCCCACAGGAATGTCATGTGTCACCATCCTACTGCTGCTTGATAAGGATGGCTTGAGGGAGAGAGAGGATGTTCTTGCAGTTAAAAACAGGATGTGAATTCTGAATTCAAATCTTTCAGACCCTCTCTGGGAAATACTGTAACTGAGTGCCCCAGACACTCAGTTCCAGTTTTCCATAGGCTCCTATCAGTCTGCTCTTAAGCAGACTTCCCTTTTGAATAAGGAAGAGGTTGTGAGGTGTCAGTCATTAGTATCTATAAGCTATCCTGGGAGCTGAAGGGGTGAATCAGTGAAGACATATTAACAACAAAAAAAATTTGCAAGACAGCAGTTTGAAGTGGAAGGCAGGACAATCAAAAGCAAAACAAAGAGCCAAACACTACACTGAAACCCAATGGCTTCAATGAGAAGGCAATAATCCACAGAAGATTTAGAGAATGAAGGAACAGAGAAAAGTAGACATTAGAAAAAGGATCTTCAATCACATAGCTTTCATTCTTCTTTCACCTCTTTCTTGCCTTTTGGAAAACACAAAGCTGATTCTGTGTGCTACCAACCAGGACAGCAGGGAAGGCTAGTGAAATGGAAAACGGCATGATTTTTCTTTATTTAGTTTTCTAGAATTACACCAAAGACTACCAATGCTTCTATCAGATCTTAGGAAAAGCACTTAATTTTTAAGAGCTTTTTCTTAGTAATGAAGTTAAAAGCATGGTTGCACTTACTAGCTCCACAGCAACTCTGAGACAGGGACAGTGTTTGTTAGTCAACTTGATCTTCACTGCCTTAGCATTCTGGGCAGTTTTTAATGCTCTCGACAGGTTCTCAGGCACCAACTCTAAATAGATTTCATTGTGCTCTGCAGCAACTCCTTCCATCTGAAATTCATCGAAGAAATTCCCCTACAATTTTTGAAAGTTGGGAAATAAAATAAAGCAAATGAAAAAGAAAAAAAAAAAAAGACAGAGGGGCAAGTTTAACCTATCAGGCCTTAAGCTTAGAACTGCATGTGTACAACGGGAAGCTTTCCTGCGCCTGGCATCACCCGCAGGAACCAAGAAGCCCATTGCTTCAGGCCAAACCTACTAATTTCAGATCCTCCCCTAACATCAGTCCTCAAACCAAGGGGTACGATGGGTGAGTTATGCTCTCCTGTTTCCAGTTTTGGGCAGGGCCCTGCGGGCCAGCACACACCGAAGCTTGCCGCTGAAGCGACAACCAAGGTAAAGACGATGTCTGGCCAGAAACACGAGGCCCACGCAACTAAAAGGCAGCCCTGCAAAACAAGAGTGCCTTCAAGGGCCTCGAGAGACCCAGCACACCTCGGGCGAGGGCCACGCACGTAATTAACGCTGCCACGTGCGCAATTTATGCCTCCTCGCGCGCAATTAACGCCGGCTCACGTGCCAGACCTAACCGCCCGCTCTGGCTGTCAACGGTGCATGGTTATCGAACCTCCGCGGGCTTACCTGGCACAGCTCGCACCACATACTGACGCCTCCATTCGCTACTTTATCGGAGAGGATGAAATACAGCTTGCTGACGGTGAGGCGCAGGGCGCAGGTCTTGGCTAACTTGGCGATGGTGTTAATTACACCTGGCGGGGGGGGGGGGGGGGGGGTGTTACCGCGGTAATCGCTTCACACGGGGGCAGGGGAGAAACGTTCGGTCCCCAAAACCGCAGATCGTGCTGCTGCGGGAACCCCCCCAACGCCTCAGGGCGAAGGAAGGAAGGCGCCTCACGCTGCCTTGCCCCCAGCGACGGTCCTCCGCGCCGCCGGCCCGGGCCTCGGGGCGCCCACGGCCCCTCCTCTTCCCGTTCCCCGGCGAAGGCGGCCCGGGCACAGCCCTCCTCCTCCTCCTCCTCCTCCTCCTCCCGCCCTGGCCTACTCACGGCTGAAGTGGTTGAGGCAAGCCAGATCCACGATCTTAGCCCGGAATCGCAT